CTAACTTAGGACTGTCCTTACAGCAATCCTGTGAGGTGTTTAGGGTAAGTATTATTATTTCAATTTTATAGACTAAAAACTAAGGTGTAATGATTTACTTACTGGTACCTGGCTAGTATGTGGCTGGCTCAAGCTAGTACATCAATCCAAATCCTCTGACTTCAAAAGCCAAAATGCTCCTTACACCATACTACCTTGTTAGGGGGCAAGGACTGGGAGATGAATATCCCTAAAGTTTGACCCTGAAGGGGATAGGGACAGATTTCTGCTTGGGAAGATGATGATGATGATGAATGTGATAAGGCAAAGATGGTTCTAGTCATTTAGTCAACATTTTCCTACTATACCAAGAACAATCCCAGTTAAAAAGATACTGTCTTAATGAAGAGTCTTCAGGTGGTATCTACAGAAGAGGAATATCAAAATTGAAAGGCTTATTACCACACAAAAGAATTATTTGTCTAAATACAATAAAACTTTTAGGGGATAAAGGATCATTCTGAAGCCAGGTTCAAAAGCCTGGAAACAATCAAATGAAATCCAATACAGATATATAAAATCGTGCTCTTGGGTTTTATTTTGTTTTTTAAATTATGTTATTAAAAATTGTTGTTTGTCCTTCATTCTTGAAGAGGACCATGACATCAGGAAGGTGATGCCATGACTTGCAAGTGAATTGGATTTAAGTGAGAGAAGGCTGTGCAAAGTCACCAGCTTCACTTTCTCCCCCAGATTCATCTGGGTCCAGTGGTAAGATATAGATCAGAATGACTGGAGATGGCCCCAGATGCAGTGGGAAACCTCCGCCTTTTTAAGCTAAGGTTTTCCCCAGGTCTCAGTTTGACTGGGGCAATCCACACCCATTCAGTGATTAAAGCTAGCTAAGAAATGAGGCAAAGAATGGCCTCTTTTACCCAGTCAAAAAAAAAAAATCAATCTGGGAGGGAAAGACCCTCAGGGTTTCTGGCCAAAACAGAAACAATTGCTGTTTATACTCACTCTGAGCCATCCAGGCCCAAACAATGACCAACTGAGGCTTGGGCTGGGACCTACTGTTGACAAATCAATGAGAGCCAGAGTGATTTGGATTTAAGGCATGGTTCTTAGAAAGAAATCTAGCTGGCAAACCCCAAGACATCTTGTGAGGTTTCAGTGATCAAAATTTATATTTCTTTGGGCAGAAAAGATAAGAGTATGATAACCTATGTGGACAGAGGGAGAGGTACAGTATGCAGAAGATCTGATTTCACAGTTCTGGTTGAAAAGTTGGATGAGTCTGGGTTACCTACAGGCTCAGGAAGTCAAAGACATGGCTTACCTCACTGAAAAACCTGTGAGCTCGTGTTATTGTTTGCCCAACATTCTGGAAGAGGACCAGTGGCATCAGGAGAGTGATGTTTTGATTTGTGCATGAACCAGATTTAAGTGAGGCAGGGCTGTGAGGAAGGTCATCAGCCTTACTCTGTCCTCCAGAGTCATCAGAGTTCAGTGGCAAGACAAAAATCAGGACAACTGATGACGGCCCCAGATGCAGTGGCCTTTAAGAGCTACACTAATAGGGAAGTTCCAGTATAATCTCAGCTGGTCATATCGTATAATCAAGTATTGTGTTCGGTTCTAGGTACCACATTTTAAGAGGTCCTGTGACAAAATGATACATTTTTACAGCATTTACACTTTAACCTTGTTTTGTGCTGTGGCCTTCTTTGGCAGTCTGGGGAAGTCCACAGAACCTTGTTTTTAAATGCACCAAATAAAACATCTAGGAGTACAAAGGAAGCCAATTATATTGAAATGCCATTATCAGAATATTTTACAACAATTTTATAGGCCTCAAGTTAAGAGCTTCTGTTCTAAGGGTCTAGGGGAAAAAAAATACTGGAAAGAAACCATTTGAGGACAGAGTGATGGGACTGGGGACATAAACTAGTGAAGAGAGTAAGACTTAAAGGTACAAGACAGAAGACTTCAAATATTTGAGATACTGTTACACAGGAGAGAGGTTAGATTTATTCTATGTGGCCGAGAAGACAGATGCAGAACTAGTTACTAGGAGGTTGCACTGTCCAAAAGTGGAATGGGCTGCCTTAAGAAATAAGGAGAAAGAACCCTATCATTCAAAAGTGTTTGAGCAGAATAGATCACGACTCATCAGTGATGCATGCTGTCCCGGAAGTTCCTGTAGTGGGTGGATATTAAAAAATGGTTTTGTTTTAGGGTCATAGACTTGGAGCTGGAAGGACACTCAAGAGGCCATTGAGTCCAACCCCTTCCCTTGCTTTTACAGACGTGGAAAGTAAGGTTAAGAGTTTAAGTAATTTCCCCAGAGGCATATAGGTAGGTAGCAGGCAAATAAGCACCTAGAGCAAGATTTGAGCTCCTATCTTGCCTGACCTCAGGCCCAGAATTCTATCTATTATGCCAACTAACTGCCCGGGTTCCTTTTGACTTTTAAGATTTTAAGGTCTCCTTGCAACGTCTGTGAAATTACTAGAGCATACGTTTGCCCAGATTTGTAAAATAAAACTTTCTAATATTAACTGAACTGGACTTGAATTTTGCAAGGGGTGCTTACAGACCCCAAACCTTATTTTTCAAATCTATCCATCACACCAGAGAGAAAAACTGAAAATAAAAAATAAAAAAAAGAAACTACAAAATGTGAAAAATATAGAAGCATAAGCATTAAGACACACACAGAGGGGGAAAAAAAAGAGCACCAAAGAATATGTTGCCAATCTTTGGGGACAGACAAGGATGGGGGTGGCAGAAAGGGGGAAAGTTTCCTGTACATCCATAGGGCGACTGGTACTTTGAGGACTCCAGAACGATTATAGATTTAGTATCCACAGGGAAGCATATGCCAGGGGCCACACAAAGAAGGAAGAGAAAATGAGGGAAGAACCATAAAAAATGCTACTGCAGACAGATGAACAGAACAGAATAGTTTAAGAACAAGACCTGTCTATTTTAACTTATTTTGTTAGAAAGTCTTTTCAACTTGAAACTTCAAGCTCATGCTGAATCCATAAAATGACAAATGAACAAAGTGAAATTTTTAAAAAAATTTTGAGACGGCTGACACAAATTTACCTGTGCAGCATCCAGAAAAATTTTTCCAGGTTTTCCAGACAAATTAAACCATTCAGATTATATGGGGGAGGATTACCCTCTAGTTAGAGAAGGGGAGAAAGGAAAGGTAGGACATTAAAATTTTATTCTGAAATGATCTCTGGCCACAACAATAAAATTCAACAAATATTCACTAAACAGTCTATCTCCTGCCATCAGCTGTACAATACACACAGTATCATAGAACTGGCCACTAGGATTAGAATCCACTACAACATATTTAATGTTCAGTGGCGACAGCAGCATCTCACAGATTTTTTTTTTACATACATATATACAATCCACATTCAATCTTTTTTTTTTCACATATTTTCAGTACACACAGTTGCAGCATATCACAGTCACGTTGTCTAAGTTGTCGCTTGATAAAAACCCAAGCCACTGCCTAGACATAATTGTAGCAGTTGAGCCGAGTAATTACAATGACTTCTGATAAATTTTCATAGCAGAGATGTACAAGCCCCTAGAAACAAATGGTTCACGACGTGTGTGTGTCTTAATGCTACCGTAGCACTGAATTGGGCAATATTAAAATCTTTCCTAACAGAATCTTTTTTCTTTAATCTTCTCTTACCAGAAATGTCTTTTTGATGAGGAAAAAAAAAACCTACAAAAACAAACGGCATTTCTTTAAAATAATCCATGCTTCCATTTGCTGGCTTAAAAGACTCCAATATGGCCCAATGCTACTGATGTCTAAAGTGTTTTCTAACATTCTGATGGCGTGATTTTGTATGACTCCAAACCACCCATTCAGGTAAAAGTGGCTTAAGTGCCTCGCACCCAAATTATAAAAATTCCTGGCTTTGCCTTAACTAGAGCCAGGTACATAGAAAAGGAATGCACTTTGGTTCAAACCAAATGCCCTGGGATTAATCACACTATAAAATTAAACAGTTTGAGGTAAATTTTACAAATACAGTTGATTTCTGTCTAGTGTTCACATAACAAAAAAATAGCTTTTAAAAAATCAGTCTGATGTTAAGATACAAATAACTAAGGAATGCTGTCTTCAACCCTTTAAGTAAAGTAGGCAACACCTGTGTGTGGCAAGGTGGTGTGTGTTGAGACACCCCCCATATGGCGAGTGACTCATGCCTTATGGTTTGCATTAAGGCCTTTGAAAGTTAACTTGATGTTTTAAGACAGGTTTACCTTCTTAAAAATAGGTTCCTGGTCCTTACTACCTCATATTCAAAGGGTTAGAGAAGCCCAGATGCATGCCTTACAACATGGCATTCAGAACAAAAGGCACATTGTTAACACTAAGGGCACGATTTTTATACTCTATTGTTAATCTACATAGTCTTGCATCACTCTGTCCTTCCACTGCTTCAGCAATACACTTCAGTGGCAATAAACACTCCAGTGGTGCAAGAAACTAAGCCAAATGAGACTGCAACCAAAGACAAGACAACACGGTGCTGTTACTTGGTCTGAAAACAGCTCAGACATCCCTAGACAATGGTCACCTGTGAGGCTAAGTGCTGTTTCCAAGCCAACTCCTTGCAGCCTATCAGAGCCCTTAATAGAATAATTTTTAAATTTACATCAAAGCAAGATGCAACATTTTTCCTTCTTTACATTACATATATGTATATATATATATATATATATACTAGAATATTTTAAAGCAGCCATATCACAGAAAGCTGTTAATATAGCAGGATTTTTTTTTTTAAGTATAGAGGAAATTTCACTGTATTTGGGGTTAAAAAAATATCTCTGCACACTCAAGTTTGGCCTAAAAGTTTCCGGTTGCATTTATGAATATCAGTCACAAATGCATTATTGGCATTTTAAGAACCAGTTGGGTGGGAGAAAAAAAAATTTAGAAAAGAAGACAAGTGGCATTAACCCATCAATGATTGTTTTTAATTGTTTTATTATGAAATGTATATTAAAAGCAGGCTCAGGCTCAGGCTTCAATATTTAAAACTAGATATTGACAAACTGGAAATTAAAAGGGGAGAGGAGAAGCAAAGGAATAAGGAAAAGACAAATTGAGTCTTGACATTTTTGTTTTGTTAATTAACCATCATTAAGAGACTTGTGGTTCACAGGGCAACCAAACCTCAGATTTCCTAGGGTCGAATGTGACTACTAAATAAGCCGATATTTAAATTTCAAAAGCCACTGATCAGGCTGTGTATCACATTAGTATCATTTAAAATGCAACATTCATCTATTATTGCACTCTCACAAATTACATAGAATTGCATTCGGTATTCCACGACATTTTATTTGAACTAGGGCCAAAAGCTATCATTTTTAAATAAAGAAAAAGCACAGATTAATTTATTGGTGGCAACTTTAAATATTAAAGCAAATATCAACACCAATACCTTAATAAAAATGAATTTTAATTTTAAAGTATTGATTTTTTGGCAAATATTTGTGTATTTCCTGAGCATTTTTCTCCACTATTAACCAACCCACAAGGCTAAATAAAAGGTTTTGTTCAAAACTGTTTTGTTATTTTGAAAAAAAGGAAATGAAGTTGTGAGATAAATAGGAGAAGAAATTAACCGGAAACTTTCTTGGCCTCACTGGGGACCATGCTTTAAGTACTCGTAAAACAATTTATAGGCAATTTAAGATTCTCTGTTCATATAAAAATCATTTATGCTAATTTATTACCCTAACTAAAGCCTCTTGTCCAAACAGCCAGAAATCTCTCTGTATTAAATTACACATTCTGTAACATTGTTCTTTTGCCCTCAGTTATCTGGTGCATCTCACTGTTGATCAATTTGTGATGAAATACTGACTTTGTAGTCATGGGAATCATTACTATTCAGAGAAGAAATATTCCCTTTCCTAACGCTGGATATTATTCTTCTAGGTGAAGTATCTTCTCCCACAAAAACTAGAAATGCTCTCCAAATAAAATGTAAAATAAAATAATAGGAATGTAATTTCTACTCTTCTTTCAATTATCATTACTAGAGAATAAGTAAAAAAATGAATGTGTCCTTAAATTATTCCTTTTTTTTAGTGCTGGTGTGAATCAATCCTAATCGGGGCAGCTACAGGTATTTCCGTTAATAGAGGAGATTTAACTTTTTCTTAGTGAAGAATGAGCTCCTGGGCTAAAAGAAACTTTTGGTAGCATCTTGGAACAACACGTAGTTAGTCAATCTAGTTTTTCTCCCAGAGTTTTCAACTGAAGTCATAATCCATCAGAAATGAAAAGTCTCTTCTATGTTAACAATCCGGGGGTCTACTTGAAAGAAAAGAAAGCAAACTGTGGCTGCAAGCAAGAGATGTCAGAGTGGGACAAGGAGAAGGGCAGAAGGGAGTTTAGGTAAGGAGCGAACGAAGGGACAGAGAGAAAGAGAAATACTCCATGGGCTACACATCTAAAATTAGGTTTAAAACATTTTGCAATACATGACTTTCTCTTTACAAAGCTGCTCATCTGTCATATTGTAAGATTTAGAAGAGTGCAGATTGCCAGCTTCATTCATCCACCCACAGTCTGCTTCTCTAGCTTTTTACACACTGTCTGAATGCTAATAGGACAAAATTTATCTTAGTGATTTGATTTTTGCTTTTGTTTGGACACTGATCTTAAGAGTGACCTTTCAAAATATTGTAGGACACAGCTGTACCTTCAGAGGACAGATCACTTCCACCCTAACCACTCCTACTCCTACATCCCAGATAATGTTATTGGAAAACAACAGTACATGCTCCATTTGTGGGCAAATGTTGAAGATGGGGAGAGCCCTATGGGGCAACCACTCTGAGGAAACTATAATAATGTGAACCCATAAAAACATAGTGAATTATCTTTGACACCAAGCTGTAATGCATGACAGTCATGTCGTAATCAATGGCCTGCCACTGATATTTATTACTCTGCCACACGAAATACAGTAAGGCTCATCATACTTTAGAAGACAAAACATTCTTTAAAACCATAAAAACTTAAAGCATTGTCCCCATATACTTTATAAAAACAAAATGAACAACTCTTACATTAAAATAAGTGCTAAAAAGATACAAATAAGTAAAATTATTGAGCAAATGAAAACATATCTGAGCTACTTGTTTCAAATGAGTAAGGCCCAGCAATATAGTATCTCTCGGATTACCAGCATTAGGGCACTCAAGCTCAGCTAACAAGTTTTGGCAACACTGTCCTCTGCTGAATATTCCCATTGGCATCTGTCATTTGTGCCAAATTAGTCCTTAGTTTGGATGCTGAGCTTGAAGGTGGAGGTAACTTGGAAATAGACGTTATAGCACCAGTGCTCTCTGTTATCCGTTTTGCTGTTGTTTTCTCCCCAGTTGGAGGCTTTGGCAAGCGCCTCCGAAGCCAGGGATGTCTCAATGCCTGGCCGGGGGTCATGCGTATGGCGGGATCCCATTCTAAACACTGTTTCAAGAAATCAAGGAAAAGAGGATCGTCACACCCCTTAAGTGCAGTCCCCCACTCTCTACTCTCTGGTGGGCCCCTCAGTTTCCCCCTTCGGGAGCGGCCGCCATTTAGAATGATGGAACCATCAGACAAAGTTGTAACAGTGCAGTACCGGGGATAACCCTTAGAGCTCACAAAATTTTTGGCTCGTTTGGATGCATCCAGAAGTTTGGGGGCAGGCATGCCCAAAAGTTCAATCATACAAGCCAGCTGGTCCCCTTCGTCTTCCCCAGGCAAGAGAGGGTAACCTGTTAGGAGCTCTGCTAGAATACAGCCCAAGCTCCACATATCGATGGGCATTCCATACCGAGCACCAAGGATCACTTCCGGTGCCCGATAAAAACGCGACTGAATGTATGTGTAGACACGCTGATGTTCATAACAACTGGAGCCAAAATCAATCACCTTAATACCACTCCTACCCTGTTGCTTTAATAAGATGTTCTCGGGCTTAAGGTCACAGTGAATGATTCTATTTTTGTGCAAAGCATCCAAGCACTGCAAAATTGAATGGGCAAATTTTCGAACCAAGGGTAAGCTGAAGCCCTGAAATTTGTTTTTCTTGATCAGCTCATAGAGGTTCATACTCAGCAACTCAAAGGTCATGCAAATGTGGTTGCGGAAAGTGAAGTTCTCCAGCATGTGGATGACGTTCATGTTGTTGTCCTTATCCTGCTTCCGCAGGTGCTCCAGGATCCGGATCTCCTCTGCGGCCTGCCGGTGGAAACGCTTTTCGTTCCTCACCATCTTGAGGGCAACATGTTGATGCACTTTGTGGTCATAGGCCTTTACCACCTGTCCAAAGCTCCCTTTCCCTATGACCTTTAGGACTTCGTACCTATAAGCAATGTGATCATGGGGCACTTGGACATAAGAGCCCTGATCATCATCGTAGCCACCATTGTTTGGCCCGCCGGTTGTGCCTTGGCGTTTCTTCGCATTTGGACCCAAAAAGTATATTTCGGGGTAACTAAAAATCTCATGGTGTTCAAAGGCCGTTAGCTTTAGCACATACTGCTTCATTGCCTGTTCTGGTGTCATAGAGGCGGCTTTCACTTTCCCAGTTCCTTCTACGGACTTCAAAGAGCTGGAGCTCCCTTGACGTCGATGAATGCTGTCCAATTGTCTGTCTTGTACTAGTGGCAATCCAGTTTTACCAACCGTTGTAAGCCCGTTTGGTTGTGTAGTAAGAACTGTCCTCTTATTACTATTATCTTCGAAAAGCTGCTGTACCTGGAGTTGTGTGTGGCTGCCAATGACCAGGTGATCATTCATAACGTGCTTGCCGCCGGTAATCTAGAAGTCAAAGACAGAAGTTGTGATTAGAACATAAAGGCTCTATCTCTATGAACTAAGCATTCTATACATCGACTTCCCTTCCACCATGCCCCATCTAGCCTAATTTACATTTTAGAATTAAGTTTGCTAGTAAATTGAGTGTTATATACTCTGGAGGCATTCCATAAACGTGGATCCACAAGATGGCAGTGAAGATGCTGAAAGCCTAGAGGACAAGGAAGAGGAAGAAGAAAAAGAGGAGAACGAAAGGGGGAAGGAGGAGGAAGAAAAAAGAGGCCACCTTCCCCAAAGTCGCCCTATCTCCCTAGGCATTTTGTCTTCCTCTCCATCCTCATCTACTGCTACGAATTTTGAGCTTTTACACAAAGATGGGCATGAGTCATTTACTATTTGGTCAGAGAACACTCTTTTTTTTTTTTGTGAGGCAATTTTGTGAGGGTTAAGTGACTTGCCCAGAGTCACACAGCTGGTGAGCGTTATGTGTCTCAGGCTGGATTTGAACTCAGGTCCTTCTGACTCCAGGGCCAGTGCTCTATCCACTGTACCACCAAGCTGCTCCCCAGAGAACACTCTTAATGAAGAACAAGACCAATCAATCTTGGACATGTATTCATTTCACCAAATCAAGTATGGAGATACTCACAGCAACATCTTATAAAATCCTTACCCTATTTATCTAAAAGGTCTTGTACTTTTTGTCAGAGTGAGGGCCGTAAAAGATCATCTGTTCTGACAAACAAGCCAACCCCTTCACTTTTTCCAGGGAGCCATTTGGTCAATAGCCCAAATCCAGAAGACTACATCCTTGTGCTACAGGAAAAACTCATGGAATTTGGTTAGCAATTTCAACTTCAGGTACGTGTGCCACCATAAATGTAGCATTCTTCTCTAAAAAGTTTGTTAATGTGAGTATGCCAGGGGTCCCTAAACCAGCACTGTGATGGAATGGGGACATTCCCGCCTTCCTAACATGCTGCTTATGGGACCTGATAGGGCCTCAGTTTTCTCATCTGAAAAATGAGAGAGTTGGCCTCACTGGTCTATAAAATCCTTTCCATTTCTACACATTTGATTCTGAGAAGTACTGCTTTCAATTTTCCATAGTGGACAGAGCACTCACTGGGTTTGGAATTAGAGCACCTGCATTTGAATCAATCAATAAGCACCTACTATATGCCAGGCACTTTGGATATAAAAAGAGGCAAAAGACAGTCTCTTCCCTCAAGGAGTTTACTATCTAATAGGGGAGACAACCTGAAATCAAATATATATAAAACAAGCTATATACAATATAAATAGTAAATAATTATGAGTTAGAAAAAACACTGGAATTCAGAAAGGTTGGGGAAGGCTTCCTGTAAAAAAAAATTGGATTTTAGTTGGTACTTAAAGGAAGGCAGGGAGGTCAGTAATCAGAGCAAAGGAGGGAGAGTGAACTAAGCATGGAAGAGAGCCAAAGGAAAAACGGAGTGCCTTGTTCATGGAACAGCCAGGAGGCCAGTGTCACTGGATTTAAAGAGGATGTGTTTGAGAATAAGATGTAAGAAGACTGGAAAGGTAGGAGGAGGCTAGGTTATGAAGGGCTTTGAATGGCAAACAGAGCATTTTACATGTGTTATTGGAGGCATTTAGAAGCCACTGGAGTTTATTTAGTGGGAGCTAGGTGGTGGGAGATGACATGGTCAGACGTGCACTTTAGGAAATCACTTTGGCTGAATGTAGGATGGACTGGAGTGGGAAGAGATTTGAGCCAGGTAGACCCACCAGCAGACTACTTCAGCAATCCAGGGGTGAGCTGATGGGAGTCTGATTTGCTACTTACCAGCAAATCACTTAACCTCTCTCTGCATCAGTTTCCTCAAAATGAGGGGTGTTGAAATTAGATGCTATCTATATATTTATATAGATATTTATATCTATCTATATCTACTTATCTACATAGATACAGATAGATATAGATATCTATATTTCTAAACTCTATGTCTAATATTCTTTAAATTATCTGAGGTCTATATCTTATTATTTCACATACATGGATATATTATTTCTAAAGAGATCCACCAGGTACACACATGCATCTGAATGGTTTCTTCCAGTTCTAAATCTAAGATCTTATAATCATAAGATCTCCTTTATGGGAGAGTTGGGCCTGCTTGAGGGAAATAAAACAATTTACTAAGTGGCACAGGATAGTTTATGTTAGTAAATGGTAATTTAGTGGCATAATAGCCAACCAAGATTTTCAGTAATTTTTTTCTAGTGGATACTATGTATGCAGATGTAGAAAGTATGTTAACTATTTGGATAGTCAGTTTTGCTACATGTACACTTCTAAGGCATTTGACATTTCAGACTGTCAAAAATAATGATGTATGCTCAAGAGGTTTTCCTAAAGTTTTTAGAGACAATAAAGTATGGAATTTTTTTTCTATTATCAATTTGCCAATGCTTTTTAAAAATGAAAGTTTTAAAGAACAGGAATTGTCACTTTTACTATATACCAAATACTGGGCAGCAGAATTCTTTGTTATAAGGGATGTCTTGGGGGGATGGTGGAGGGAGAAGGATAAAAGAGAAAAATCCAGGTAATGTAAAAACAAAAGATATGAACAAAAAGATATTTTTAAAAATACTGGGCAGATTCCTAAATAGTAAAATTAGGGAAATAAAGGCAGCAGGATAGTTATAACGTTTGTCAGTCTAGTTTCCAGCTGTTCTCCCCAATTTCCCTTTTTTTATGACCTCAAAAACAAAAAGAAATATGAGCAAGCCTGAAAATTAAAATGCCCAAATCTTTCCAAGACAGTCAATCTCTCCAGGTCAAGGTAGAGAAACTCTACCAGCAGAGTACAGGAAAGCCCAAGCTGCCACAGCAAGGCTATAAAAGTGTTGGAGCTTTATTAGGGATTAAATAAATTAGAGACTTTGGAGGCTTCTCAGTGACATAAGTGCAAAAAGTTCAACTCGGTATTTGAGAACTTTCAAGATTTTTTAAATAGATATTTCTGTGTTTTACATAATTGGAAATATAAATTATGGAATAATTGTAGGTTCTAGAAAGAAATGATTTTGTTATGATTTAACTGTCAACAATCCCTGCTTAATCTCCATATTGGACTGTATTATTTTTGAGAATTGCCTTCCATAATATCATAAGAAAACATGAAATCAAAGCCCGGGGGATTGACAAATATCTCTAGGACCAAAGTCTCCAGACCTTGAGTCTTGTACTGTATTTATTATCGAGACTTTGAATTCAGCGAAAGCTCATTTTAAAATAAATAACAATTCTACATAGCAGATCCATTGTCCTAAACCTGGGAATAATTTGCAGCAGCCTAAAAATTCTCTCGAGGAAGAGGGGAAGAAGAGGTTAGTTAGAATTACTTCCAGAATATGCATCTGCCAGGGATAGGTAATAAACTCAAGACTTAAAAATCAATATCTCTTGTACTGTCCCATGATGTTGTCTCTAATCTAGACAGTCTCTAATCTAGACTAGCTTGTTTCCATTGTAAAAATTCCTCTGATCACCGAACTCTGCTCAAAGAACACTTTTTTAAAAAAAAAATGTTGAAAAATACAACAAGAACAGTGCTCTACTCTGTGTGGTAATTTTAATCACTGCCAATAACACAATGACAAACCCTTGCTAACTCAAAGAGCTAACATTCCCAAGTACCTTGAATGTCATAATACACTACTCTGATGTCATCAAAAGCATAGTCTAATGGTCTAGGAAAAGATAGAATCCAAGAAGGCTAGAATTTTAACTCTACCTCGTACACCATCTGTTTGCCTTCTCTGCTTTGAAATATTCCCATCCACTAAATGGGGATACTATACTTATTGAGTCCCCATTGAGTTCTGGCATGGGTGATTAATGCTTGGAGAATGCTTTACATAAGAATAGCACCATAAAATGTTATCAAGCTACATTTGAAAATTAAATGAGGAAAATGCTACAGTAGTATCTCCCATATGCCTCAAGACAACCCATAAAAGGATGTCTGGAATATTTTTAGCTCAATGCTCAAAGGTAAATAAAGTGAATGGAGATGTATCATAGGGATGGACACATAGATAAGAGAGACACAGACAGAGGGAGAAAGAGACAGAGACAAAGACAGAGATAGAGGCAGAGACAGAGAGAGGTGAATAGATGATAGATGGAAATAGATAGATACATGGATGGATGAGTGGATAATGTCGCATACATACAGAGAGCCAGGAAGAAGAGGGTAAGGGGAACAAGTTAAGTCTCAAAGTTCATAATCTTTATGTTATATATGTAACCTACCATTACCCTTTAGGGCCCTCCTTACTATAATGTATGCAAAGAGACACTGGGGCAAGCACCTATGACAAGATCATTTTCTCCTCTAGAATGTCTTGTTTTTTTCCACTCATTTAAAAATAGCTCTTCCCAGGTCTAACTGTCCTAAAATTAAAAATAAAAACTTCTAACAGTCTGACAAGTGTGAGGAGATATAGGTTCAGAAAAGTGTATTAGCCTTTCTCTATAACCTAGAAACACTAGAATTGACAGCCTCAGCCAATGTGCAGTAGTGGGAGTTAAATTCAGTTACCACATGGGTGACCTTGGGAAGCTCAGCTTCTCTGGACCTCATTTTCTTCAGTATAACTAGGGGCTTGATCTTGATAGCCCCTAGGATTCCTTCCAGTTTACTCTCTATGAAATTTCTGGCTACTATGCAATGTCTCTCCCCTTGACCAGTTTCCTGCTACAGAAAAAAAAAAAAAAAAAAAAATCCCAGCACATTTCCTAACCCAAATATCTAGTAATTGGCAACTCATGCAGAGTTCACACACAGGTCCAGCAAGCTGATACCAAGATGAGCTCTGAGACGGGCGGTTGAATAATAACAACCCCAACAGCATTTCTGATACACCAGAGTGAAATAAAGGCAGCCAGGTATTGCAGTGAACACTTGGAGTCATGAAGAAGTGAGTTCAAATCCTGCTTCAGATACTAGATATATCACCCTGGGCAAATAATTTAAACTCTCTCAACCTCAATTTCCTCTTTTGTAAATTGGAGTAATAATAGCATCCTCTCCACAGGGTTGTTATAAGGATCAAAGGAGATAATATATTCAAAGTGTTTTGCAAACTTTATAAATGCTACTATTATTACTATTATTGTAGTGTATATCTCTCTATAGAGGCCTTCTTTTAAATCAATTAACTATTTTCATTTCAAAGGGTTTTGAAGTGCAAATTGGCTCTCTGATCACACTGAACTCTAGATATAAATAGGGCACTTTCTTCTAGTAGACAATAGCTTTCTGTATCAGCAGGCTACTACCTGTGTGACTCTGGGCTGTGTGACCTATGACCTTGACTACTTCATGTCTCTGGGCCTCAGTTTCCTCATTGGTAAAATGGCCATTGAATTACATGACCAATCAGGTCCTTTTCCAGATCTAAATCTATGATTCTATGATAGTTACAGTTGTGAAAACTTAAAATCCTAGATTTAAGGCTGGATGGAACTCAGAGTTGTTACAACATGTAGTAAAAACCTGGACTTAACCTATTTAATAAAATGTCAGATGATATCCTCCCCCCCCCCAAAAAAAACAGGCTCCCAAAAAACAAAATACCCGAAAAAATTTGGTTGCAACAAATATATTTTCTAATGCATATTTTCTAACGCATTGTATAATAATACAAATCTACCTCTACCTGTGCCCATAGTCCAATATAATATCCAAGTTCTATAGTGAATTCTTAGCTCACTAATGTCCTGGGGGATAGGGGGAAAAAATCAACATTCCCCTTCATAAGCATGAACAGGAAATTTTATCAACCTTGTCACCCACTTGTAATGTCTCCTTCTTACCAAAATGAAAAAAAAAAAGCATTACTGGGAAAAAAAAAAAGAGGGCAAGGCCTGAATTTCCATCTGTTAAGTGATGTCATTTCTGGGGCAAGCACCTGCCAGATAGAGCTGCCCCCTCCCACCCCCCCCCTGACTCTGGAAAATACTCTGAACAGTGAACAGAGATGGCTGTCTGCCCAACTGAACTGGACTGGAAGATCTGGCTGAAAAAAGAGGGAGAGAGAGCACATCACTACCTCCAAACACATTTCTTCTCTTATAGCAGAAACCATCCATGATCTGTCCATGAGAGTTGAGAGAAAGCACTGATGGTACAAAATTCAGTTTTGCAAACCACAGCAGGAACAAAATATTTGGGCTTCCTTATTAAAATACTTAGATATTTGTACCTTTCTCCTTACAAAGACAGGGCTATTGGTTTCCATTGCTATAATGTCAAATTGTAGGTACCTAGTGGTTGTTGTGCTTTTAGCCTGATGGTCTCTTATTTTTTCCTCCTATTTTAATTACTCCCTCCACTGAGATCAAACTTGTAACACTCATAAAACATGCCTATACAAGCAATGGGTCATTGGCATGGCTCCCTTCTGGCTGGTGAGAGAGGTCTGGGAAGTTCATTCAGGGATCAATTTTCCGGGTAGGGCCCAGTGACTCTGCCCTAGCACATTTGTTTCTATAAATAACTACATGGGGGTGGGGAAGGGGCGCTTCATGAGCAGGAAGGGATGGCATGGGAAGGCAGGAAGAGAGAAGGCAGGCAGCAAGGAAAGAGGAAATACAGTGGAGGGGGGGAGAGAAAAAGGAAGAGATGAAGCTGGAAATCCTCCTTTGTGGCTACAGGTTTTAGGACCTTAGTTAGATGAGTCAAGGCAGCATGGTAGAGTGGAAAGAACATGGCTTGGTTATCTAGCTATCCCAGTTCATATTCCAGAGAAGCCAAAGTATTCCAGGGTCATTTCTCCTCCCTGGTCTCAGTTTCCTCCCCTGTAAAATGCAGGAGGTGGTCTAGATGGCCTTTAGTGCCTCTCTCAGCTCCCTGAGAGCAGGAGTTAGTTCTAAACTTGCCCTTCGACCTTTCAGCTCCCAGTGTGGAAAGGCGCAAGCCTCGGTGTGGCCACCCTCTCGGGGCCCTCCTCCCTCCATTTGCCCCCGGGGGCTCTCACCGTGTGGGCCGCGGCAGCGGCCGCAGTGTTGCTGGACCTGAGAGGCGGCAGGGTGAGGGGGGACGGCGGGCCAGTCCCCACTCCGCTCCGGGGAGCCCCAGCTCCGAGTGCCGGCGAAGCCTGCAGCTGACGGACGGTGCTTTCCCCTCCTCTGCCTAGGGAAGACACGAGGGAGACAAAAGAGAGTCAGAGAGGAAGCGAACGAGAGGGGCCTCGGCCAGCGCCCCGAGACCTAGCCGGGGGCCCTCTCCTGGGCCTCGCTTGGGCCCGTAGGAGCAAAAACAACTCCCCTCCCGCGGGGGAGGGGGATAGTACTGTGAAAGGGGGGGCGCGGGGCCGGCACAACGGCCATTGGGGGGGGCGGGGGGGGGGGGGAGGACGGACGTCCGGGAAAAAGTTAATGACCAACGCTAAGCACACCAGCACACAGCTCTCGGGTCCGCCTACTCCCCATTAGGGTCGCCAGCATTTGCAAAGTTAAAGCAATCTTTCAGGCGCGAATAGAGATTGAGAGTCCTAGAATGAAACTGCCTTTTGGGGGGACTTGGTGCACGTTTTAGGCGACGTCTGGCCAAGATGGGGAGGGAGGTTTGATGGGAGGGTGCATGTCAGCTCGAGCCTCTGTGTGTGTGTCTTATGTGTGTTTGTGTGTGTGCACGCGTGTGTGTTCGTGTGCTAGGAGGACGGGGAGCACAGAGGCGACGGGGGTAGAAGGGAGTCTGGTGGGTGGGAACGATCTTTCAGACTTCCAGGGCTCTCTTCGGCCACCCCCATCTCCATTCCCAAACCCAACCAGGGGAAATTGCAGATGCCCCCGGGGGTGGCCCTAGGTTTGCATGTTCGAGTTTCCAAGGCGGTGGGGCATAAGGGGCAGACAGCCCAGCCAGCCCTCCCGCCACAGGACGCGTGCATCACCGCTTCGAGGGGGGCATTTCCAGCCCTAGGGAACAAAGATCGAGCGAGCCCCCGCGCGCAGTGGCGGCGCCCACCCGGAGAAGCAGCAAGCAGCAGCAGCAGCAGCAGCAGCAGGAGGAAGCAGCAGCTCCCGGCCTGAGGGGGCTCCGACCGGCCCAGGGCGCCGGCTCCGCCCGCGCCCTGGCTCGCCTTGGACTTTGTTTCCAGAGGCTCCCCGCGCCCGCCCGGACCTTGCTCGACGGCCCCTCCCCCCCTTCCCCGGCCCCTGTAGGCAGGGGTGGCGGGTCTCCGGGGAGGGACGTGTGGGGCCCGGGCTGCCAGCTGCAGCGGCCCCGCTGGGTTCTAGCGCGGGGCTCGGCGCGCGTGCCCCCCTCCTCCTCCTTACCAGCTGGGTAGGCGGCAGAAGCGGCAGCAGGTTTCCTGGTTAACATGGCCGCTGGAGAGGAAAATGCATTTCAGGGCGGCCGCTGCTGCTGCTGCCAATGCTGCTGCTGCTACTTCTCGCTGCAGCCGCCGCCGCCGCCGCCGCCGCCTCCTCCTAGTCTGCTCTCCCGCAGCCGATCCCCGGCGCCTGGTCGCGTTCTCCAAAGAGCTAGACCCAGACACACACACTCTGCTGCATCCCCAGGGCCCGGGCCCGCCGCCGCGAGCCCCCTACTCTCCTCCTCGCCGCCGTCGTCCTCCTCCTCTTCCTCCGAGAGCAGCAGCAGCAGAAGCCCTGCCGCCACCCCCCGGCCCATGCACATCACTCCACCCTCCCCCACCCCCGCCGCCGACCTCCCCGGCTCCCTCACATAGGGGCGCGGAGGAGCGAGCTGAGGAAAGCGGCTAGGGCCGGCCAGGCGAGTTGGAGAGCCTCCTCCCAGTGCTCAGACGCTCACACACTCACACTCATCCACTCACACGCACACACACACTCTCTGTCTCTCTCTCTATGGGCTCAGACCGAGAGCGCTGTCCCCGCCCCTTGCTCCTCGCTTGCCTCGGCTCCCCTCCTCCCAGCCTAGCAGTCACTCAGCAGAGCAAGCCCGTCCCCTGCTCCCCACCCAACCCAACCCCCCCAACACACGTACATACATACACACACACACTCGCTCCGCTCTTAAACAACTAACTACAGAAATCCCTCCCCTGCCAGACCAGCTGCATATTCCCCTTTCTCGTTTTCCCTACCAAACTCTAAGCAGCCGCGAACACCCTCCCTTATAGCCCTCTGCAGAGAGCACCCCCCTCTCCCCGCCTCTCGCTCCCCTCCACTCCAGTTCGCCCGGGACCTTCTCCCCTCCCCCCTTGCCTTCCTGTTCTCGCAGTCATCTGCAAAGACCCCTCCTCTTTCCTCCACCGCCCAGGCTCCGGTAACCATACTCTAAGGAAATGTCTGCAGAGCCCCCTCTCGCCCCTGACCAAAAATGCCTCATTTTCTCTCGCCCTCACCGACGACACTGTTCCCCTACTCAACCCCACCCCCACCCTGACCCAGCACCGCCCCGATCCAAATGAATCCAACCTCCCCAAACCTATGTTTAAAATATCCAAAGTTGTTTTTCGGTCACCTCAGCCAGCCAAAAACCCACACAGCCCTTCGCTCAGCCAGGCTCGGGGGGGAATCCTGAGAGCCTGGGAGGGGGGAGGGGGCTTCCAACACACCCTCCACTTTTTACTTAGTCAAAGAGACCGCTCTCCCGCCCCTAGAATGTTGGGGAGGCGGCAGGGCGCGTGTGGGCAGGCTGCTGGGGAAGTAGTTGGCTGCAGGTTGCTAAGCAAAAATAAACATCAGAGACACCTCCCATTTCCTTCTAGCAGATGCCTCCCAAGTGCCTCCACCGCCACGGGAGAAGACACACCTTCCCTTCCACTCTCTACCATTAGGGAGCGACACCAGCAATTCCTCTCCCCCCGCAGATCCTACGTTTCCCTTTCCCTTTCACTCTACTGACCTTCAAGAATATTTGGGTCTATTTTCCTGCTACTACCCCTTTCCCCCTTTGGGGGTCACCTCCCCTTCAGCCTAACTGTCACTGGTGTGCTACTGGTCCTGAAAGGTGCACCCAGAGACACGTTACCAGGAAAACACCTCCTTTCGATTTAATCCAAATCAACTCAAATTAACAAACAATTTTTAACAACCAACGATTGCAAGGCCCTGCGCCTGGGGATTCGAGATACGAAGGAGAAAAGCAGACCTCAAGGAACTTACCATCCACAGGGCATCACTTTTCACCAACTAGTTTAAGAGGCACCTTGCCCACCACTGTTGAAATAGAAGATATTCTTCTTTCTCTTCCAACTCCTTCCTTTCACCCAACTAGTCTACACCTCATTCGGCCGTTTCTACCTTTGTCAGCTAATCAATTCTTTGTGAACCCTTTGCTACTTCAGTGAGTGGTCTTGTAAAAAATAACTTGACCAACGTTAGGAAGAAGAGAACAGAAGGAACACCCTTTCCCTTACTATTGGGGGAGAGACTTAACATATATAGTCTTAGGTATGCGGTGGGAGCACTGAAGCCATTCTACATAGGGCTCTGGAGTCCAAATCTGAATTGAACCAGTAGAATATAAGCTCTTTAAAGGCAGGAGAGAGGCAGCGGGTGGCTCAGTGGATAGAGCACTGGGCCAGGAGTCAAATCCAGCCTCAGGCACTTTCTAGCTGTGTGACCCTGGGCAAATCACTTAACCCTGTTTTCCTTAGTTTCCTCATCTTTAAAACAAACTGGAAAAGGAAATTGCAAACCACTCCAGCCTTTGCCAAGAAAACCCCATATGGGGTGAGGATGGGTCGGACACAACCGAACAAGAAGAAGGGAATGAAATCTTTTCCCTCTTTCTTTTTTTTAAATCTTCTTTCCTTCTTTTCATCTCTGTATCCCCAGCAAGGACAGTAACTGTGTTTTGTTGTGTTGTGTTTTTTGTCTTTGAATCTTCAGCCCCAGCACAGTGGTTTGTACATAGTGGGAGCAAAATAAATGTTTGTTGAACTGAAATGAGTTGAGCTAAACGGAGTTAAACCAGATTCTGCAGTCCCACTGTTTTCAAATCACTGTCATGGCAACACAACGTCCTGATCCCTCAGTGAATTTATCTAAAGCCAAAGAGGGAAATGTGTTTTCCCTTTCCCTTTTAAATTCAGTTTTCCGGAGTAGAGTATGAGGTTCCTGAAGCCTCTTGAGTTTCTATGGGATGTTAAAGCCCCAAAATAAAGACACAGGTGGCAAGGGTCACACATATTTGATGGCATTATAATGGGGATGATATATGCAAATAAATCCTTTGGTGTCTTTTGACAATAAAACTGACTTAAAGTAAAATAAAGCAACTAAGACCCAAGACTCAAAGGGTCCTGAGTGATCTAGATGTCACAAAGTTTAGGCAGTTATACTAAATGCCAGTTTTCTTATCATCCCAGCCATTCAAAACACTAAGGTATCAAGGGTTCTTAACCTAGGATCTGCTGACCAGATTTCAGACGGCCTATGAAATTGGATGGGAAAAAAATACATCTTTATTTTTACTAACTTTTAACTAAAACTTAGAGTTTTTTCCTTCAATTATGAATATAGGCAATAAACATTATTTTGAGAAGGGATTCCTAGATTGCACTAGCCTGCAAAAGGAGTCCATGACACCCAAGAAAAGGTTAAGAACTGCCAATATGAACTGGAATAAACTTTTGCAAACATAGCTAGGGTTTAAAAGAATTGACAAAAGGGTAAAAGAAAATTTATAAAACCAGGAAGAAGTCCAGAAATTGTCATAAACTATGTCGCTGTCCAGCCCATCTCTGTAGATTAGGGACTATATGAAAATGACTAAAGAAAAGTACTTAAAGCACACAATGTATTACAAACATATGTTCTAGAAGTGCCAGAGAATAGGGAAGGTCTTCAGTGAGGTCTTAAAGCTAACATAATGATAAAGAGGAGAAAGCAGTCCTGGTTCGGCCAGGTTTTTGTATTTTTTTGCATCAGCCAAATGGATTATCCCAAATGAAAAATCTGATCTGAGCCTGGGCATTGAGAGAAAGGTTGCAAAGACACATTCTGCTCTCACCCATACAACTAGATATATTAAATCCCCATGTTTGACTGAATTTTTTTTTAAAGTCCTGTAGCCTAAAGGTAATCTGGAAACTGGAAAATAAATTGGGAAAATACGATGAAATATGGAATCCATTACTGTTACATTAGGAAAGAATTACTAAAGCAGAAAATAAGATAGTCTAAAGAGGCCAGTTGGGGGCCAGATGTTTAATACAATTCATGGCAATCACTAAATAGTAACATAATACAGAAGGATGCATGTGTTTTAATATCCCCCTCCCCTATATATAATATTTGGTTATTTTAACTTTCTCTTTTTTCTTGACAACTCCCTACCTTTATCATTCAAATAGAGTGCGAGAATAAGAGGAAAGTGATTGTGACAAATAATCTGACACCTTTTCATTTAGATTATTCATGATACCCCAGTAGAGTCTTAACATAATAATACTGTCATTCACGGAGAAAAAAAGCCCTCCATGCCATAAGTTTACTACAGAGGAGTTCATGAGCACAAAGTTTACCCTATTATTTTACTCCTTTAATGTGGAGGAAAGGAAGCACCAATGAATTTATTTTGGAAAAAGAGACGCAAAGAATCCTATGTATTGTGAACAAAGAAATATATGTGTGTTAAACACTTTTTTCTTCATACATTATTGCTTTATGATGATAAAAATCATAGCTTCATTTTATTTATTGGTACATTTGCACATACTTTAAAAAAAATGTGAATGAATAATCCAGTTCTCCCAGAGCCCTTGCTAAACCTAATTGTAATTTCTACACCTTTGAAATAAAACTGCATTCCCTTTTTCAGGCTTTAGGTTACTGTTTTCAATCAACTAGATTTCCTTCTGCTAATAATTTTATAGATGCAGACATTTGTTCAATTACTTTATAGACCTTCACAAACAAAAGTACTTCACAAACATGCCTCCTTAATATTTGTTATAAAAAAGAACCATCCAGAACCCTGGAGCCCTTGGGAAGATAGTGTTACTTTTGTGATATAGGAAGGGCTCTGGTCTATCCATATAGAACTGATTACTCTGTTTGCCTTTGACTCATTGAGGTTCATTGGAATCCATTCAATATAACTGCAGTCTTCCTCAACAACTTCAACATAGTATAATATACTCCTATGTGCAAATGTATCTGTGACTTCATCAATGTGACTTCTACTAATGCAGATTGAATTCCATCTATTACTATCCATCCAATATCTATGTCCTTTTATAATTTGTCATTGGGGGTCTACCCAATACTCTGGAAAGGTCTTTCTTATATGTTCTCCTGACATTGCAGGTATACCAATGGAGCCGATGTCCAGTGATTTTCCACTGCTCTATGTTACCTATCCATATTTTTTTCCTGGTAACATTTTTCTGATGGCATCCTTCACACCACGTCTATATAATCTTTAATTTGTAAGGTGTTACAAGCAACAAGGCGAGGCAACCCACATTTATC